TATATACTTACAAAACGAACTGTATTAAGCTCGAGAATGCGAGAAGATAATGCGTAAATTTTACTATATTTCATGGTTGAATGGACGTCTGTTCCCTTTGGGCGCGGACCGTATCGACATACGTTTTCCAATTTTTCCAGTTTTCCAATGTGCCCTGGGTTGGATAGGGGTTCACTGGAGATCGCAGCATACCCTTGTGAGGGGACCATCACTGCTCAGCCGCTCATTGAAGGCTTGCCTTCTCAATAAGACGTCAGCAGGAAACAACAAACGGCGTTTAAAAAAGGGCAGAAGCGAAAGTTGCGTAAGCAGTCATTGCTATTCCGAATGCTTTTTCGGCCACAACAACAAGCAGACAGACAGGAAGTACGCGTTCTCTCACAAAAACTTACTAGAGTGAGCAATCGATCGGTGTGGATGATGTCGTGAAGGGTGACGACGTTGGCATGACGAAGATTCCGCAACAACGACACTTCTCGGATGGCTGTACATGGTGCACCTTCTTCCTGTTCCAATCGGATTTCCTGAAAAATACAAATACATTCAAGAGAACAGCCAAGGGCTTCAATGTATAAAGGCAGAGTCCAAAATCACTTATAATTATCTAAGTTGTTCAAAGGAGAAAAGGTGTGGACTGCAGTGAAGTATAGGTTTCTATAAGTTTCACGTTAGAAAGTGGTAAAGTAGCGGCAGTAGAGCACATAGTTGCTCAAGTAACTCTGCCCCCTTTGACAGATGTCTTATCTGCGGTCTTGCTTGTTTGCATGTTCTCTCGCTGCTTTCTCTGGCCTCTCGCTTGACATCAACACCAATTCTTTATTTCTCGCTTGGCATAAGTAGGATCTTATTTGGAGCGTTTTCAACCCTTTCCTCTCCTTTTTTCTTAACGGACAAGTCAAGTAGCACGTACACTTTTGATTTCCAACCCCGCTCCCTACTAACTGTTCGCTAGTCATTGCGAAGTCTACCTTTAAGGTAAGGAGGAATCGATAAAGGGGAGGAGCTTTGAATGAAAAATTTTGAGAGTTTCAAGTGAAAATTTTCGAAGCGAAAGTACATACTTAATGAGTACATCGTCGTCAACAACGACCTGATGCGCGAGCGCGTTGAATTGTTAATTACAGCTCCATAGGCGTCATCTCGAGCAGCACTAATCGCTCAGCGACAAGGAGACGAGGATTCAATCGGCAACAAATTATCCTTTGACGTCATCGAGTATGTAGTAAATATCCTCTAACGAGTTCCAAGCACAAAGTGGAACACCCACCTAGTCTCACCATAAGCATCTCTCGTCATTATCAAGTACTGCACAACAGTAGCCAGAAAATGTTTCAAAAACCAAAACAGTGAGAATGGGGTACGGTAGTGTAATATCTACGCGAAACAAGCCCTTTGTGAACAATGAATGGACGTCAGTACTAGTTAAAGGAGATGTGAGTGGCGCAAGATATTTCCCTGAGGAATATGACCACAAATAGACGTCACGTCGTTCACAGCGTCAATAAGCTTTGGTCCCTTTGAAGAGCTGCATGAGAACTGGGCTGAATGTTGGCGATAATTGTGGCAAAAAATCTACGTAAGAACCTGGATCTATTCAAAAGGTCTAACTGATATTCCAGCGCGCTCTTGGTTGATATTTCCATGGGAGAACAACC